CCCCCCCCCGAAAAAACTGCCTCCCCTGCGTCCACACACACCATTTTACGAAAGATCTTTTGAAAAAGGTGTTATTTCTCGTAAAATGAGGTTGACGGCTGTTGAAAAAACTGCCACATTCTTTTGATTTAATTTCAAAAGAACATGACGGCGGTCTAGACACAGGTAAAGTATTTTCAAAAACACGCCACTTTTTTGAAAAAACTCCTGTAGTCTAGACATAGCCTTTGTCTCTGATTCCTTAAGCAGAGCAAACACAAGATAAACAATTTAAACCCACAAACTTCTACAAAAATAAAAAAGCTATATTCTAAACAGGAAAGGAACAAAATATTAGGGCACAAATGGTGTAAACTAGATTTCCATTAGGCTTAGTACTAGCTTTGCCTGCTTATAATCCTATGGGAGACCTAGCAAAAGATGGCTCCTCCCAGTCCCAACTAGCCCAGGTAGCCCATGAGATGCAGGCAAGAAGGGGGAGAAAAGCTGAAACCAACCTCTAGTTTTACAGCTCCTTGCTCCTCTATTTTAACAATGTTGCAGACTGGTGAAGTGTGGAGACTCTTCCAACTTTGCCATTTCACTGGTGTTCTCAAAGGATTATCTGCCAGCTAGAATAGCTGGACACTTAATTTTCCAGCCACTTTCCCATTTCTCAAACATGATCTTCACCCTCAATGCAGGTGATTAGTTAAAACATGTGGAGGCAGATTTGGATCCATCAGTGCCATATGCCTGGAGAGGACTACTGCTACACTGGCGGAATACTCAGGAACGGACTTATGAATGGCCTCCAACTACCTCTGAACCACTATAACAGTGCAAAGAGCAAAAACATGGTAAAGAATTGATTGCAGTCCCCTAATCTTATTGAAATATTTGATTCGATGCCCTAAAAATTGGACAGCACTCATCTATGGCAACAAAGTAAAGAGTTAAAACTTAATAGATTTGAACACCTAGCTTTGAACTAAACAGAAAGCATTGTGTATATGAAAGATAACTACTGAAAAACTATTTTTAGGAAGTCTTTATACTGGCAGCAGATTCTTGAACATTTTTCTTCTTGAGATTCTTAGTGCACTGCAATATATCAAGTCATTGAGGATTTAAATATCACTCCCCAAACATTTTGATGCAGAACTATATATTTAGTTTGAAAAAAGTACATTAAACAGTTGTACCACTTCCCTTTCCTCATAATAAATAATAATTTTGAATTTTTGTTTTCAACAATGACAACTTAAACATCAGCATGTAAGAGACTGCATTATGACAACAGAATTTGGTGTGGTTCATCAATGTATCAATCTAACACGAGGCACTTTCAAGTTAAATTTAAATTTAAAGAAGCAGATGGTAAAGCATAGTAAAACATCTGAAGTAATATTCTGAGTCAACTTTTCAACCATTTAAAAGAAAGCAAGTTTTAAATACACAAGCTTTTTAAAAAAATACACAGCACATGTTTCTTTACATAAAGAAAACACAAAAACCCTTAGGCCCAAGAGGTCACCTGCATTTCGTGGTCTCAAATTTACAGCATGGAAGTTACATATTAAAAATGACAATACAACCTGTCAGCAAACCCTATTTTTACTAATACAATTTTTTAAAAATTGGTAAATGTTTTTTCCATTACTAGTTGTTTCAGGTTGTGTATTCTCAACAGTGGTAGCACTGTACATCTTAAAAGCTGTAATAATTCAAGTTCTCATTTATATAGCTATTACTTCTGATGGTTGTATCATCATCCACTATTTTTATAATGTACAGTGATAGTCGCAAGTCTGTTACATTAATAAGTGTTTAAATCAGCTGTTCTTGAGTGCACTTAAATTGTAAGGCCCAGGTAGTAGCACATTGCAGCACCCATAATAATACTCAATATACTGCTAGTAACCTGTTTCCAGGAGTTTAACTGTATTTTAAATTCTTGCTATATGTAGTAAAATACTACTAAAGACAAAATTTTGCCCCTATAATGAGGCACATTTTGGCATCTGTGCTAAATGCTGCTGCGTGGGCAGGCAAGTGCAAGTCAAAATATTAAAAGGAGAGTCATGATTAGACATTAGTAACTTTTTCATAGAAAAATATAAATATATTCCCTGAAATGTAGGACAAACAATAGCTAGCATTCATCATGAATTCTAGTGCTATTACCATAAAAATGTGGACTGGCTTTTCCTCTCAAGGTTATGTTCCACAATCTACGTAATCTAGACCTCTATCATCATCATCACCACCACCATCATTGTATCTCACAGTCCTTCTCCCCCCATTTCTAGTTCTTATTTTAGAACGTCGATTTGCTTTATTATATTTGGTGTAGTCCACATCTTCAGAGTCATTTTCTTGATAAAGTTTAGGGCGTTTCATTCGTTGGGGCCTTCTGGAAGGCATAGATACATTTGAATTTGAAATTTTACCTTTTCTAATTAATTTATTTTTTCTTTTTCTTTTCCTCTTTTTTGT